TATACAAAATACTGATAGATGGAGGCAACCATCTTTCAGATAACTTTGTAAGTATTTGAAGTACAAAAACATAGAGGCATAGAAAACTGACGGCAGAAAAAGACCTACTGGTCCATCATTTTTAGTTTATTACTTTTTAATTCTTTTTATATTTTATATTTATTTGATTTTTGTCAGAGAATGTATTTATCCCAAACATGTTTAAACTGATGATTGACCCACTACCTCCACTGGAAGTTGGTTCCAAGCTTCCACTACTCTGTGAGGTAATACTTTCTAACATTACTTTTGAACTTGCCTCAAGTCAACTTGAGGTGATGCCCCTGTGTTCTTGATTTTTGCTTAATAAATACTGTTAATAATATACAAGTACAGAGTATTTTTTTCCTCTATTCAGTCATGTCCGATTACATGGGGACTGCCTGGACCAGTTTCTGCAGTTTTCTTGCCCCCCTCTTTTTTTTTCTTTTCTTCAGAAGTGGTTTGTCCTTGCTTCCTTTCTAGGACTAAGAGAGAGTGGCTGGCCCCAGGTTGCCCAGCTGGCTTTGTGCCTAAGGTAGAACTAGAACTCACAGTCTCCTGGTTTCTAACCTGATACCTCTTTTTATGTGTACTCAGAATTAACAGTGTTTATATTCAGATTGCAGCTTATATCATTTTATTATAGCATGTTATTCCCCAGTTTTGATCACACGTTCAAAACTAAGGAGCGTTGTACTTACCACATGAGTGATGTTGATAAATGGTGGTGCTGACGGCATTGAAATGACTTCAGCACCCTTACAACATGCAGGGCAAAAGAGTGCATTGTTCTTCATAGCGTAGGTCATTGCTTGTGTTAAAACCAATGTAATATAAGATGTGAAAAGGCTTTTTCTGCAGACATCTGTGCTGTATGTGTGCAAATCCCCTATGAATCTGTCATCATTGGAGCAATTTATTAGCTTTTTCCCTTGTTCAGGTGACATGTATTATGTTGCAGTGTAGCTGAGTGACATCTTACATCCCACAACCACAAATTGAGGCAACTGATTTAAAACACAGAACAGTCTGATGCAAAGTGATGAAGGTAAATTGAAAATTAAAAGCATCTTTGAGGCTTTCATCTACAAACAATAATCATTAGAGTTTATTTAAAAAGAGACACAGTACTGCTGATAATAGTAAATACTTCTACTGAGGCTTCTGGAAGATATTAATAAAGACAACAGTGAGTTTCTGAAAGAGAATAGGGAGTGGTATGGTTGAAATCAAACTAAGAATCTAATTCCTAGTGTTCATCTATTTTCCATGGATCAAAACTCCAAATGGCCAAGCTCTGTTTACAATAGTAATTAATAACAGTAATAACAACAATGGTGCAAGCAAGGACTGGTGAGACATAAAATAGATCCAAGTTATAGAAAATGAAAAAGTTGAAGTAATTTAGGATTCAAACAGACAAGCACTTGCCATATACGGTAATATCCCAAACTTAACAATTGTTGATAAGAAAGACAAAAAAAAAAAAAGTCTGGATAATGGATGTTTTAGTACCTAGAGACAGCAAGTTAGAAGAGAAAGAACTGGAGAAGATAACAAAATATAAAGACCTGAAAATATAAGTAGAACAACTGTGGCAAAAGAAAAGAAAGATATTACCAATAGTAATAGTCAGCAATCCCAAAACATGGGGTGTCACTTGAACACCATTGGCATTGACAAAATCAGCATCAGTTAATTGCAAAAGGCAGCAGTTCATATCCTGCAACAGTATCTTTAACATGATGAAACTACAACATCTCCTTATTCCAAGACCCTTGGGAAGGATCATTTAGTAACTGAATGATCCTTCCCAAGGACCTTGGAATAAGGAGATGTAGTTTCATCATGTTAAAGATATTGTTGCAGGATATAAATGTAAAGGTAAAGGTTCCCCTCGCACATATGTGCTAGTCGTTCCCAACTCTAGGCGTTGGTGCTCATCCCTGTTTCAAAGCCAAAGAGCCAGCGCTGTCCGAAGACGTCTCTGTGGTCATGTGGCCAGCATGACTAAATGCCAACGGCGCACAGAACACTGTTACCTTCCCACCAAAGGTGGTCCCTATTTTTCTACTTGCATTTTTTTATGTGCTTTCGAACTGCTAGGTTGGCAGAAGCTGGGACAAGTAACAGGAGCTCACCCCGTTATGTGGCACTAGGGATTCGAACCACTGAACTGCCGACCTTTTGATTGACAAGCTCAGCGTCTTAGCCACTGAGCCACCGCGCCCCTCCTGTTGCAGGATATAAGCTGTTCCAAGTAGAAGCATCAGAGTCACTGTGCAATGAACCATAATTCTATGCATTGAAATCTAAGATGCATCTTGGAGTAAAGTGCTTCACACAAAAGGCTCTGAAACATTCCTTCCTAAGATGATCTGTTGTGTGTATAAACCCAGATTTAGGGTCTAGCAGATCAGCCAGTACAAGCTTTCAATTCTGAAAATGTTTCACTGTAGTCATTTATGATTACTACAGCTTACATTTTATTTGGACATTTAATGTTGAATTCATGAAAGACTCCCATGAAGACTTATTAATTCATTGGCATCATATACTTCATTCCTGGGGAATGAAAGGGGAAGGTTTATAATGTCATGGAAAAGTTTGTCAACATTTTTTCAACATGAACCATTTATTCTTTTCATGTCTAATTTGAAGGTCTGGCTCCTTAAGTGAAAATACATGGTAAAATAACTGTCACCTTGCTTTAAAATAACCCTATAAACCAAGGGTGTGCAATTATGGCCACTTTACAACCTGTGGACTTCAACTCCCAGAATTCCTGAGCCAGCTGCTGTAAATATATTTGGCAGTTGGGAATATGAATTATAGTTAGACTTGTCATATTGCTGCTTACATACTAGTTCCCTTGTATTGTTAGAAATGTTTTCAGTGTAATGTAGCGGTGAGGAATATGACTGACACAAGGAAGAGCCAGATTAGAGTTAAGCCTCAGCCACAACAGTTCATTGAGTGACCTGGGACTGTCTCTCAACCCAACCTACCATGCTGGATTTTTGTCATGATGGAAAATGGGAGGAGAGAGTGCTGCACATGTTGGCTTGAGCTCCTAAAAGAAAGGTAAGATATCATGTTTTCCCAAAAATAAGACCCTGTCTTATATTTTTTTGAACCCTGAAATAAGAGCTTGGCCTTATTTTTGGAGAGGTCTTATTATTTCGGGGTGTGTGGAGCAAGACAGGGCTCCTCTTGCCATCTTACCTGATTTCCAGCTCTGTCTCCCTAACCTTAACCAAAGGAAATGGCGGGGACCGGCTGCCCATGTGTTTAAATATTTTCGGGGAGGGCTTATTTTTAAGGGAGGGTTTATTTTTTGGGGAGGGCTTATTTTCTGGAGAGGGCTTATTTTCAGAGAAATACGGTATCAATGTAATTGATAAATATAAATATATTATCACCTTATATAATAATACGTATTGGGAAACATCTCCCTGATGTATCCTAAGCTTCTCAAATTGCTTTAATATTTTCTGCAAAATTCTACACATCAATCAGGCTACATATTTTCTGCTTACCATCTATGATTCTTTTGTTCAGTGTTTTGAGGATCAGTGGACCTTTTTTTGAAGTCAGAGTGCATGTCATTGGCATTCTCATAATATTGTTGCCATAATGAGCATCACTATTCACCAAATACTAATTTTCCAGAAGACATACTATGCAGAAAGGAAAACATTTTCCCTGCGAACTTGACTGCAAGGGTGAGGTAAATTCTGACCACCATAAACACAAAATATAAATGCACTTTTGAGTACCTATTATAATACTTATTTGGCAGAAGTAAATTGGTGAGATCCACAGTTTTGTAAAAAGCACAACAACCAAACCTACTGTATGTCACACAGAAGGCAAGCAGGCAAGACTCAGAGGAAAAGCAAGCAAAACTAAACTGCAAACAACACCAAAACACACATCATTTTGCCCAGTTTCATCAATTTTAGACTTCCAGACTGCTCGCCAACACTAGCCCTTACCTCGACTCCTAGTCACACTTTCAAATGAAATACTGAGTTATAGCCTTTTTCTCTCTTTTCCTCTCTCTCAATTTTTTTTTTCAATGGGTCACTTTAAAATATATTATTTTCAGGGCATTTTGAGCAACTGCTTGGCAGTCTGGTCTACTTGGCACTTAATTTTTCAACAGTGTCATCACTGTGTTGACAACTTTTTGAAAAGTTGAGCGCAGCTGCTGCAGTTTTGCTGCTATTTTTTTTTTTTCTGACTTAGAAAAACTCACCAGGAGCCATGGAGAAGGAGACAACTGGCCGGAAGTCTCTCAAACCTTTAAGAAATCTTATTATACCTATGTCCTTTCTAGAGCCTTCAATTCAATCATGCATTTTATGAATTATTAATTTTATTTGACTTAGGCACTGCCCCTTTCTGAAGCAACTTTGGGTGGTTATTTAATCATTGGACATCATTTGGGCTCTTGCATATAAATCAGAATTAGGAGGCCTTTGAAAAGTATTTGGAGCATGTATGACCTGAAGAATTGCAGCCTTTGTAAGAAATCCAGAACATCGGGTGTTTTGTTTTATTGAAAAACTGCCTAATCGTAAATGCAAAATCCTGAGCTAAAATGGTGCCATGTTAATCTTGTTAACCTTCAAATATTTTATTCTGTATGTTAAAAATCCAATTCTCTCCCATGGATTTTTGACTTCTGGATTGTTCTCGCTCACTTTTATTGAATTGTTTCTATGAAAAATGTGGCAATCCTTCAAATAATCCTAAAATATCACCTGGGCATGGGACAAACAGCAACATTTTGCATTTTGACAGCATTGGTGTGCTTTATATAGAGAGCAAATTGAGACTTGACCATGCTGAGATTCAACCTCTTTTGGCTGGTTTTTTTTCTTTTTTTTTTTTTCTGGTAAAAGCTTATGAGTACTTCTGAAACTTCTAAATCTAGAGAATGATTGAATTCCATGCTGCTCAATACAAAATGGTTCAGATACCCATTGATTTATTCCAGTGGTTTAGCCTATAGTTTTTACATACTAAATACACAATTTCTTTACAGTGACAACTCAATGAGACAGTACATCCTCTCAGAATTACCTGCTTATTAAAATGACCAAAACCCACTAGTGCTCCTGGAACAGTCATTGTTGAGTTAATGCAGTTTTCCCCTGTCCATACTGCAACAGATTCTGTTTACTCATTTTGTCAAATGAGCCTAAACACGAGGCTATCTTTATATATGCAAAAACAACAACAACAGGAATAGGAACAGCAACAACCTGTGTGACAAAAACAAATACAAAAACAAAGTTCTTAAAAAGACATTGAAGTAATTTGGGGAGTAGAAATTAATTTGTACAGAAAATCTAGCTGTTTAAATGAAAACCACCATTGGATATAAAATAAGATAGTATACTGTGTTTCCTGGAAAATAAGACCCTGTCTTATATTTTTTTGAATCCCAAAATAAGCATTTGGCCTTATTTTCAGGGAGGTCTTATTATTTTAGGATACATGGAGCAAGATGGGCCTCCTCTTGCTATCTTACCTGATTTCCAGCTCTGTTTCCCTAACCCTAACCAAAGGAAATGGCGGGGACCGGCTGCGCATGTGTTTAAATATTTTTTGGGAGGATTTATTTCCGGGTGGTGGTGGCTTATTTTAGCACATCTGCTCAAAAGCCCGATTGGGCTTATTATCGGGGGATGTCTTATTTTCAGGGAAACAGTGTAGAAGAAGAGAGTGTGGACAAAATCTATATGAAGATTGATAATATTATCAAGAAAAGCAAAAAATAGACCCATTCATACTGTGCAGGGCAAGCTATGGGAGGGGCTTATTTTACCTTTACCCTAATATAGAGCATTATTGCATTTCAGAATCTCATACTCATTAGCAAATATTCAATATCCATGAGCATCTGTGGAATCATCAAGTAAAAGTTGTTCAGGGATGACAAAGAAGGCCTGATTCATTCAATGCAAAGAAACCTTCATCAGCAAACAAGTAGTAGATGGAGATTCAGTTTCAAATTCAATATAGGACCTTAATATGACTGGAGAGAGGAGGAAGAGGTCTGGCTTTTCTATGGTCTAAGAGATCTATGATTTGAGCAGACTGAGCAATATTTTGAACAATAATTTTCAACAATTCTTTAACTTAAGTCACTGGGAAAAAAAATGATGGAATAGCACACTGCTGGACTTAATTTAAAAAAAAAAATACAGGAAAAAGTAGGTAGTTCAGGAGGAAAGAAATAGCACTTACAAAAATTGCCTGTGGATTTCAAACCAGTAACTTTCACAAGGCAAGTGGTGATATTGTAGCATTAGTGATTCTAGAAGACATTGGAGATCATAGTAATCATTTATTCAGTTAAAGTTTAGTCTGTTAGCCCAAACACCCAAGGTGACATATGAGGAAAGAATACTTTAAAACTACAAAAGGAAAACAAGTTTGGAGATTGAATATTTTTTTTTGAAGGAGAGGGAATATAAGGGTGGGGAGGTTACTGTTTTTATTATGCTTATATTGGCCTTTTATCTTTTTCAGGTGGCCAGAGTCACTGAGAGTGAGTTGGGTAGCCATATGAATTATTTTAAATAAATAAATATTGTCTGCGCCTACCATCAAAAAATGGTTTCCGGTACATTCTAGCAAGGAAGCAACAGGCAATGTGGATTTTAGGACACTTCTCAACTTTGGCAAGCGTTGTAGTTGTTAATGAATAATTTATCTGGTTATGAAAAGGGAGAGAAAAGAAAAGAGAAAAGAAGAATAATCTTATAATGTTGACATTGGTCAATCACCATTTTATTTTTGAAGGGCAAATTTGTGACTTTTTATGAGCATGATTTTCATATCTGCCATCTGCTATGTCAAAGAAACATCACAGAGTCTTACAAAAAGTATCAATAATTCAGAAAAGTTATACAGGAAAAATGAATCAGAGTTCTACATTCTCAAGGTTTTTTTTTAAATGAATCTCCTATTTAACTCTGTGAATTCTTCATAATATTTGGCTGTATGAATACTGACTTTTGGTAAATTATTGAAGTACAAAAGTAATGTACTATTTTGTTAACTGGGATTTTATTGTTATTGCTAAGCATTCGACAGAAATATTGATTTGGGTACTGTTGAAAACACACTACTGATTGATAAAATACTAGACTAAGATAGGTTAAAATGCTAGACTAAGATGGGACATGTACAAGTTCAATCTTTTCCTCACCAATAACATCATATAACATCATGGATAATCTAGCAACAACTCTTGAGACTGGTTACCAAGGCCCAGTGGAGAAGTACAATCAGATAGAATACTAGAAGATGCAGAATGCTAGATTGGAATTCTCCCTAGTAAAACCATAACTCAAGTCAAAGAACTGGTATACATTACAGCCACTGTAATACTGGAGATGACTGGCTACATGATCAAGAACAGTAGTTCATACCCCCACCTGGAAAATGAGATTAGAGGCTAAATTTAATGAAATTCAGAAAGAGGTTAGTCAACTCGTGGAATTAAAGAAAGGTGTGAAGCTCAAGGATAAAATTCTGCTACTTAAAAAATACAAGGATGTGTCTGAAATCCAAGGTGTACTGCCAATAGCAGTGCAACAATATAATAATAGGAGGGCCCTAAAAGCAGAAACTGAACAGTACTGGAAGAACATATGGGGAAATAGAGAAGACACATAACATCAGTGAAAAGTGACTGCAGGATCTGAGAGAGTATCACAGCAGTCTCCCAGAGTAGAAACCAGACACTATCACAGTAGCATCTGACATCCATTAGCAAGTCAAGAACATGAAGAGCCTTGGTAGTACAGTGGTCTAAGGCACCCTGTTATTAAGCTGGTTATTAAGACCAGCTGCCTGCAATTACTGCAGGTTCGAATCTTGCCAAGGCTCAAGGTTGACTCAGCCTTCCATCCTTTCTAAGGTAGGTAAATTGAGGACCCAGTTTATGGGGGCAATAAGCTGACTTTGTATAAATATACAAAAGGATGAAGGCTATTGCTGAGCACATTGTAAGCCGCCCTGAGTCTCTGGAGAAGGGCGGCATATAAATCAAATAAAAAAAAAAAAAGAGCTGCACAGCACCCAGCCTAGACATGAGCCATACCTAATGGCTACAGAATCTAACAACAGTCCATGAACACCTAAAAACACAGATGAACCGGCTGCTAGCAGCAGTCTCCCACTCAGACTGGCTAACACAAGAAAGGACAGTACTGATCATGAAATACTTCAGAATCAGAATCAAAATCAAAATAGAGTTGGAAGGGACCTTGAAGGTCTTCTAGTCCACCCCCCTGCTCAAGCAGGAGATCCTATACCATTTCAGACAAGTGACTGTCCAGTCTCTTTTTAAAAACCTTCATCCAGTGATGAAGTACCACCCACAATATCTGAAGACAAGCTGTTCCACTGGTTAATTGTCCTCACTGTTAGGAAGTTTCTCCTTAATTCCAGGTTGCTTCTCTCCTTGATTAGTTTTCATCCATTGTTTCTTGCCCTGCCTTCTGGTGCTTTGGAAAATAAATTGATCCCCTCGTCTTTGTGGCAGCCTCTCAAATACTGGAATACTGGTATCATGTCCCCCCCCTAATCCCCCACAAGGAACAGCACCATTCAACTACTGGTCAATAGCCTGCCTCCTTAAAACATGAAAAATCCTATCAGGCATCATAGAGCCAAGCTGCAGGACTTATAGGCCACTACATCAACATATCTCAGAAAGGCATTGGGAATAACCCCAGAGGCTTAAAACATCAATTGCTCATAAATAGAGCAGTTGCACAAGATTCAAGGCCTAGAAAGACCAACCTGAACATAGGCTAGATTGACTACAGGAAAGCCTATGACTGAATGCCGTGCACATGAACGCTGACGTGAATGCTGATGCTATGCAAAGTCAAGAAGACACTAAGACGCTTCCTCAAGAATTCAGTGGGACTGTGTAAGAATAATACTGGAAATTCACTCAAGGCACCACATGGAAGAGGCCATCAAATGCAGCATATGCCATGATGATGCACTGTCCCCACTGGTGTTCTGCATAGAGTTGGACCTAGCCAGATAATCACAAGGACTGGATATGGATACAATTTCAGAGTGGAATTACCATCAGCCACTTCCTCTATGTGGATGACATCAAGCTGTATGCTAAATGTGCACAAGAAATTGACTCATTCATCCACCTGATACAGACAATTGGAAATCCTACAGTGGTTGGAAAGAGCTGGACTAAAAGATAGCACTAATATGCTGATCATACCAGCATAAGAATAGGCACCAGAATAAGTACCAGATGCATAGAAGCAAGAGAGACAGTCCAAGATATAATGGCAAAGTGTAAGATGCAGGCAGGAATGCATATGCTGAGTGGCACAATTACGTAACTGACATTGGAATATCGGCACAGTGTATGTGTTAGACTAGTCACTAGACCCTCCCAAATTCAGACGAGAGATTGTAGAGAATAACATAGCTAAGATCCGTTGTGACTTCCAGATCCAAACAGACAGGCAGGTACAGTCCAATCAACCAGAGATAGTGGTAGCTGACAAGGAGCAAAAGACAGGAGTGATGATAGATGTAGCAGTGACAGCAACATCATGAAGGAGTATGAAAAGCTGGAAAAGTGCCAGGGCCTAAAGGAAGAACTAGAAACAATGTGGAAAGTAAAGGCCAAGATAGTAGGAGCAATTAGGGCTATGACCCTTAATCTAAGAACAGATCCCAGGGACAACATCAGAGCTCTCTATCCATAAGAGTTCAGTGCTAGGAACAGCTAAGATTATGCGTAGAAGCCTCAAGCTCCCAGATATCTGGTAGAGGACATGAGATTGAAATAGACACAGACCACTCATAAGGGTGAAGACAATTCTTCAGGAACGAGGGAGGGAGGGAGGGAGGGAGGAAGGAAGAAAGGAAGGAAGGAAGGAAGGAAGGAAGGAAGGAAGGAAGGAAGGAAGGAAGGAAGGAAGGAGGAAGGAAGGAAGGAAGGTAGGTCATGCTTTCCTAGTATGATTAGCATTGCCATATGTTCACATATCTAGTAAGTATACAAGTAAGTAAGTAAATAAGTAAGTAAGAGGAAGGGAAACAGTTTGCAAAAACAATAGGTTTTGGTATCTTTGTGAAAGATTACTTTGTGATACCAATGTACTTTTTTATAGCTTTTTTATAGCTAAGAAACTATAGTCAAGAAACCCCAGTCCTACTTATGGTAGATATGAATATCTCTTTGAAGGGGACATAATTAAGAGTCTCTGGAAGAAAGGAGGCCGACCAATTTCCTGATTTAGTCATTTCATCCTGCCAAGAATGCAGAAAGAAACACATTTCTCATTCCTGAACGCCCCATGGCATAAGAACACTTATATGCAGCCTAATAATGTACAGTTAGTTACTACATTTCTTTTTCTTGAAGATTAATTGCACAGTTTGCATTTAGTATATTGGATTTTACTAAAGCTGAAATAGATTTTACTATTGCTCAAGTGTGTTTTGGAAGCAGAGTGGCAATGTAATCCTCATCAAATGCTGAATTATTATGAATTAGTGTCTAATTCATATAGCCAGTTGAAAGATGGGTCCAGTGGAGAAAAAAAATGTGATAATGGAAGAGATGCTGCTCGTATAATGGTAAACTTATGTTTAAATGTCATAACATTTAAAACAAGAAAAAAATATTAGACTAAATCTATCAAAATAAAGCAGGTATCAATAAGTGGTTTTATGTATCTACAATTTTATGCAAGAGTCCTATCTACAGTTTATTATTAGTCAGCATCCTCATAGAAACTGAATTTAGAGAAGGCAGAGTGGTAGAATGGTACCTACATTACAAGGGTGAAATTCTACTGGTTCGGACTGTTTCTCCCAAACCGGTAGTAAAAAAATGCTACCGATTTCCAACTATCAGCTGGGCGACGATCAATTGTGACGCGCAATTTATATTACCTAGAATCGTCGGATTTCCTACTTTCTAGCTAATCTAAATCACATAGCACAGCAGATTCCCCCCCTCCCCCAGCTGTTCTACTTACCCTTGCAGACTCGGAAGGCTTCAAAATGTTCCTTTTTTAGCACTACCAGTGGTGGGTTCCTCCCGGTTCAGCCGAGCCAGTAGCGGTGACAATATGAAATCACCGAACCAGTTCTGCCCCCCTGCCCCCCACTCCCCCGCATTATTCTTACCTTTTATTTGGCCCCACCCCCAATCTATTGCTGCCTCCTGAGTCCCAGCTGATGGGCTATAAGGAAAAAAACTGTTTAAACTCTTGCCGCGGGGCTTCAAAGAGCCGCCCTAAGCTGATCAGTGGTAAAAGGCAGTTTGGTGGTAGACCGGTGCCTCCAAAAACAAATGAGCAGACCGGTGCCTGCAAAAATAAATTGGTAGACCAGTGCCTGCAAAAATACATGAGTAGACCGGTATAGCTCTGCAAGCAGTTAAAAGCCTGGTAGACCAGTACCTCTGCTAAATCCTAAAGAATTGTCACATGACCATCAAGCCACGCCCACAAAATAAGCCATGCCCACAGAACCGGTAGTAAAAAAATTTAGAACCCACTCCTGAGCGCTACGCGGGCACGCCTCAGGTGCACATGCACACGAATAACACATGCTCACGCAAAGCGCACCTCGGTAGCAGACTTACACAACTGATAGCAAACTTCAGAGGAGTTCACCGCTGCTACATTATTAGAATGGCACTCATTTCATCTTGCATACTTTCCTCACATTTTTTTTCTGGCCCATATTTTCTTGAACTGCTACATGCCTCTTCTTAAACGGTATTTGATTTCAAATTATGAATTCCCCCCAAAACTGAATTGCATAGTGGTTATGCTGGGGGCTAAGTACATTAATTTTAAGAAGTATAGGAGTTCAGTAATTTTGGCGAACAATGAAAAGTGTGTGCAAAGAAGGCCGCATCTTTCAGTGTCCGACATTTCTTACTGCTATCTCCTGCTGTCCCTGAGGAGAAGTTATTACACCCATGAACATTTTCTCCCATGCAAAATGTGGGTAATCAATGACCAAACTACCTTGAATCCCTCACTGGATTGATACAGGAAAATTCCTCTTCAGCACTAAGTTAGCTTTGTTTCCTTTGCATATCTGAGTTTCAATCACTACCTGGTTACTCAGCATGTGATGCTTGACTGGGATCCCCAATGGATGAAACTAGACCGAGAAGCATCCATTAATTGAAGAAAAAAAAATGATGTTGTACAGGCAGCAAAGATGGGAAATTGTGGCATCAAAGGTAGCAATCTTGACAGAGCGAGAACATTGCAGGCTTTTATAATAAAATATTTCAGTGCCTCCCTCAAATTAAAAAATAATAATAAAAGGAACTGAAAAGGTTTTATAGAAGTCTGTACAAATGTGTACATTGCTTAAATCCTAAGTAATTCATTTGCTTCACTGCAACTATTGTCTGAGGTATTACTGGCTGACTTATGAATAGATACTCCGAAATCATAATGACAAAATACAGTTGCACTTTAAAATAAAAGGGCCTTTTCTTTTTGGTTTACAAAGAAGCAGAGTTGCATCCAGGATCATCATTAAGATAATGTAAGCATAACAGTGAGGTCAGGCAGATGAGACCTCAGTATGCAAAAGACAGCTCAAGTGGTTTACTGATTCAAGAATTTGGAGTCGCCATTTAATGAAATCTCTTCATTTTGAAAAATGAATGTAAAAAGGGAGTTTTTTTTTAAAAAAAAAACCACCAAGAGCATTCAATAACAAATATTAAATGATAAACACCCATTGCTTAAAATCAGAAGGACCATTTTAAGCAAAGCATTTTAGCTCATCATGATATGTAGCACCTTATTTAAATGAGGAGGTGTTAATTCTTAGCTTGAATAATATATTAATATAATATGTAAAGTGAATGGCATTGTTAATCACAGTCGCGCCTGGAACGACTTTGCTTCTGTGCACGGAATGTTAATTTTGCAAAACATTAATTTCAAAGATTTTGCAGCCGTGCTTTTGTAATTAAATATTAATGTCACATGTTATTGCAGTAGCATGTTTATGAAAGCCGGCAACACTTCAAGTCAACTCATTTGTTTTTATATTTATTCTTGTACATCTGCAATCCCTTCCATTTCACCATTTCAAAGTGAAGGCCATTTTGAATAGTCAATATGTAAAGCATTTTTCATTGTAAGCGTTTTTTAACATCCAACAGGGTAAATATTTAATGTGCTGTTTTTAGCTGGCATAATTTTTCCAGAAAATTGGCTATAACTTTTAACAACTTGTAGGTTCTCTAAGCTGTTGCCATTTTTTGGCTTAAGTCATCTGAAAATAAAAGAACCATAAATGTGATGGAAATTGTACAAAATTATGCAGGAATTATGAGATTCTTTATGAAATTCTGGAATTCCAAAACAACATTGATTTTATTACTTTCCATTGTTTGACTTTATATGCATGGTGTGCAATGGGTTTGAAGAGCAGGTACTGATTTATCTTTTTGATTAACTTTTCAGAATGATACCATAGTTTCTAGTCAATTCTGCTAACACTTACTATGAAACTCTTCAAATTATACTTTTTTTGTCAAGTCTCTGAATATTTCATGAATAAGTTTAATGACAGCTACTATTAACAGAAGCTTTTTCAGAATATATACCACTGTGTTCATTTGTCTGGGACTGTTTTGACCAGATTATAATATTTGACGATCTTGCCTTCAAACCTGTGAATTACATTAGTTTACAAAGTCATTTCTATTTTAGCATGTTACTGACAAGAAACCCCACATTAAGCCATTCCCCTCCTTCTCTGTTTGCAAAGACCTTCATTATACAGTAAAAAAAAAAAAATACAGCTCGGCAGAGTATATTTCAAAATGTACATTTAAAAAGCCTTTATTTATTGTGCTACAAAAAGTCGAAAGAATCAAGATGCATTGTTCTTTGGTTGCAGCCACATTTAATAGTTTAAAATTATATTGGTACCTGATGTTGCATGTTAGTAGCTAATACCATTTGACAGTGATGAATTTAAAGGATGAAGAAGAGATACAAACTACATTTTACAAGCATGATGGGTCTCCAACAATGCCATTTAAATATTATTTGTCACTATTTAAAATGAACCTTTCCCCTTTAAGCTATGCCATTATGCTCATTTGTCCTGTCACCGCTGACAGCCTCTATGACTCACACACAGAAATGGTCATTAGGTACTGCATCTTCATCTTATTTAAAAAACAGGGGGGTGGGGGGGATAGAGAGTGAAAGGGAGAAAGAGAGAGGGGGGGGGGAGGAAGAGAAAGGCAAAGCATTCTGATGTCTCTAAAAGCCTGTAATTATTTTCATAGTGTTGCTTGGAAGGTAATTTAATAACCTTTTGCACGTACCTGGGGAATGCCTCCCAAAGGAACCAAGGTGCCGACATGCCATTCAGTCATCAAAACATGACCTTTAATGGTGGTGGGAGAGAAGTTAGGATGGAATGTTGTTCACAGTGCACAATGCTAATTTTGCTTTCTAATGTATGCAAAGTTTAGTTCTGAAGCCATGGTCTTCATCAGATGAATTAATGTAGGTAACTCTTCTCGACAACACAAGAGAGATCAGTGCCTAACACAGGGGTCTTATGACCTCATTTGGAAAGAAGGTACAGTAGATGGGCTTTTGCGAAGACAGCTATCTTTTTTTTTTCTACTGATTTTGGATTTTTCTCGGTCTAGTTAGTTTGCAAATATGCTACAGGGCTTCAAAGTGTAACTGAGATCACCATCAGCTTTTAGGTGGTCGGGAACATTGATTAACCAACAATTCTCCCACGTGACAATAATAAGAAAAGAAAGTACAATTCTCCATTTAAAAAAAAGGAAAGAAAAACTTATTTCACATTGCTAAATTGAGGTGGGGGGGAGATGTTTGGTGTAGTTAGAAAGTTAAACTACAAGCATGTTTATGAAAATTAAAAGATATAGGATATGCTCAGTGAGGCAGAAACTGTGTCCTGCAACATCAGGGCCAAGAAACTCCTTATTTTGGTTCAGTTATATTAAATCCTACTCTAGTTAGATATGCTGTGATTTCTATTCACATCTCTGATACACCATCCGTCAATTTATTAGCACTCTGGTGCAGTAAGTCGCTGAACAGGCTATATCAATTCGTTTAAGGCACCCCCTCCCCTCCATCTTTTAAAATGCCTGTAATCCTCATCCCTGCTCTCTCAACTGCTCAGCATTAAAGATTTATGCTGCACTTTTTTTTTCATTGCCACACCTGAATATGGATTACTTAAATGGGCTGTAAATAATTGATACCTGGGAAGAAGTTTCCATTACTGACCGATGCTGTAATTTAATATACTGTACTATAGGTTATGCAGTTTTGGATTGTTTTTGGTGTGCACTTTGCAGCTGAGCAGACAATAGTTGAAGTTAAAAAGAAATACAGTTTCTTCAGTTTTATTTCCATGTTCAGTGCTAGGCTGTGTGTGGGAGGCAATAAAGTAATTGAGGATAATTTCAGCAGCTTCCTTTAAAAAAACAAAAAAACCAAATAAAATAAAAACCTTGATCTAAACTGATGCAAAACAAATTGAATAAATAAGGAGAAATAATATTAATCTAATTTATTGCCTAAAAGGTTTCAAGATACAATGCATCACTTTAATAAAATGTCTTTAAAAAACCCACCAGAGTTGGCAAGGGGAGGGGAGGGATTTCTGATGACTTCTGCATATGGTGCCTGATTATTTTTTCATCATTAAGTCCAATAGAAAAGAACATATTTGGAAAGAATTTTTCAACAAGGTCATTAGTTACAAATAGAAGTGCAAAAAATTTCTAATAACCATCTTTGTGCAAGGATTTATACTTAAACAACATTTAACCAGCATCAGTTGCATGTTGCAAAAATATTTTAATAATAGATTAATGCATGACAATCTATAAAGATACACCAGATAATGATTTTAAAAGGAATAATTTAAAGAGATGAATTAAAAAATAGAATTAAAAAAAAAAGAAGGCCAACATAAACTAGGGAAAAACATGCTGTGAATAAAGTCTGTTGGATCTTGAAATAGAAGAACTGCTAAATAATGCATAGTTTTATTTTTCTGTCATTTGCATAAACCTTAAGAGAGTATTTATTTGTGTAAAACTTGATATATTGAGCAAGGGAAGTGGGGTGGATGGGGGGAGGGAAATGGCATTCGTTTTGTTTTCATTTTGGTATTTAGGAAAAATATTCTATTACATATGGACTACTTAGACCTAATCATCTGACTGAATGTGATGTGTTTCTTCAGCCAGGTTGGAAAGGACTGGATTGAAAAAGTGTGCCCTGGTCTTGCTGCAGGCTACGCAGGTTGGCCCAGGCATTGCTGGGGAGCAGATGGTGAGCCAATGCTTGCAGTCACACTTACCTTCCTTGCTAAATCCATAATCCCTCACTGGACACACAGCCAAGGCAGGCTTTGGAGACAGAAAGGAGGTTACAATCTGGACTTGGGTATTGACTGCCAGAACGGAGAAAACAGCTCAGAAATGTTCAAATGCTTAACAAGTTATCTCTCTTGTCCCTAAGCCAGTGCAGCATTTAAAAAAAAGTAATTAAGACATGATTGAAAATGTGTGCACCATAAAGAAAGAAAGAAAGAAAGAAAGAAAGAAAGAAAGAAAGAAAGAAAGAAATTAAGAATAACAATTAAAGCCATTTTAAATGTTCTAAATGCAAAGAAAGGAGAAACAGACCTTATACAAAACATTATTGTGTATGTGTATATGTATTAAAAGCTAAAAATAGCTTTTAAAATGTAGTAATAAGATAATAGCGGATTCTGTAGAATTTTTCTCCATAGTATATTATGATTAAGTAAACTTATTTACTTTCACATTGAACATTAGTCTGATTAGCGATATATATCGGAATATAGTCTAAAAGATTATACATGCCGTATAATAATCACAGTACAGTATGACCTTTCTTTTCTTACATATCTTCTATTAGAAATCTAGTTATTATATCACACACACGTACATTATGTGCATGCGCGCACACACACATATGTATGTGTGTATATATATTCTCTCTCACACACACACACGCACACATACTCATACTGCTGGGGAAGCCAAATCTTAATCAGCTACAATAAAGGGGGAAAAGATAAGACCATCTGTTTAAAGCAAGTGAGTTTTCTATAAAAGGATGGCATACAAAAAAAGTTACAGAAATATTGTGATTGTGTATTAACCAAAATGTGATGTGTATGTTTGTTTGTATGCATATGCATATATTTATATGGATTATATTTATACATTTAGAGAATATACATATGCATGTTTGTATTTATCCTAAGTATGTAGATAATGTGCATCTGGATTGAATGTTTCATATATAGACACACACACATATAGACACACACAAAACCACATGCATACACACACATACACACACTCACATATATTAGATATATATAAAAACATGCTTCATTATATATATTAATCTTTACTAAATATTGCTGTGATGCATAGGGATGCAGAGTTCAGATGCTGATGTGAGTTGACCTGAAGTCTGAAAATCCATTTTAGCTCCAGTGCGAAATCAGATATACATTTTTCTGGCCTATGTGGTTATATGGTGGCTTCTTCATTTTGTCTTTTAGCCTACTCTTTTAGACAGAACAAGACAAAAGAGCCAGAGTTCCTTTCTAACTGTTTTCTGTGGTTTTCAAAAGTCTCAAGAGTTTTGGTGGGTAGCAAAGCCAGCACAGATACGATATTTTGTTATGGGCATATTTATAATGTTCTAGTGAATTTGAATAGTGTTTTACTTAATGATTGATTGTTTCTATAGCATTGTCATTCTTCACAGAGCTGTTATAAGCATGTGAAGAGAGCCAAGAAGAAGGATGGATGTCTCCATGTTGTTGGCAGATCATGACTGACTCAAAGGCACCCCTCTCTGCCCCCCAAAAACCAAACAAAATTCAAAACAAAATTCAAAACAAAGAATCTCCATCCTTATACTTATTTATATATATACATACATACATAGATACATTTTTATTAGATTCTAAGACATTTTTAAATATGTATATTTTAAAAAATCAGTCATGACTGCATATATTTTACACTTTAAGTAGCTTCCTTGCATGAGGTTGCCAGGTTGCAAATTCTACTTCATGAGGATAGAATTAATAAATAGAAACATTACACGTTTTGTAGTCTTCTGTTCTTATTATGAACTGAAATATATCGTTCAAAGACATACCTGATCCAAACATCAGTTACCAAAATCTAAATGCAAGCACAAAAGTAAAGGAGATAAACATTCAAAGACATTAGTATATTTTATGCTATTCTTATATTTTTTTCATTAGGAAGATTATTGATTTATGAAAATAATAATTATATTTTACAGTTATTCTTACGAATACCAACCTACCTGTAATAGATAATGTTAGCCAGTCTTAGGCAAATTGACTTAGATCCTGTTTGATCTGTAAATAGTCTTCCATTCATGCAACAAAATATTAGGATCTGCACAAAATAACACCTATTCCATTAATCTAAACACCTATTATAAGATGTATCATCTTGCAGCCAATCTCTTCAGTCATGTAAAGTGATTGGACACACATTGAAAAATAGGAACTTAATTAAGCCAATAAACAAAAAAGAATCTTACCTTCTCTTCTGCATCACTGTGACAGCCTCTCTAACAGCATGCTAGAGTATGGGAGACTATGAGATCTTTTTTTTTGGCACCCAATTTCTTATCATTGCATGATTACCACCACCATCATTGTCACCATCATATCATATGTCTGTAGAGATTCTCAGTCATCCAGGTCATGGTTGTCCCAAAGGTGCTTTTTCAAGAGGCAACTGGACTTTTTGTTTTTTCTTTGAAGACATTTTGCTTCTCATCCAAGAAGCTTCTTCAGCTCTGACTGGATGGTGGGGAATAGAAGGATTTATACTCCTTGCAGACAGCTGGTCATTTGCATTCTTTAGTGAGTCATTAAGGTCACCTGTGTCATCAGGGTCACTTGAAAGGTGCAAATGGATGTGGAGCCTTCCTGAAACTGTTGAAAGGACTATGTTGTAGACTGGAGATAGTAAATGTCCTATCCGTTCCACTCTGTTGAGAGAGGGATGTTCAATTTTGACATGGATGGCTTCTTTGACCCATCTTTCAAACCAGTGGTCCTCTCTGTCCAAAATGTAGACTTTGCTGTCTTCAAAAGAGTGGCCTTTGTCTTTTAAATGCAGATGGACTGCTGAATCTAGTCTTGTTGGGTTTGTTCTCCTATATTGTGCCATGCATTTATGAAGTGGTTGTTTTGTTTCCCCAATGTACAGATCTGCACATGGCTCACTGCATTGTACTGCATATACCATGTTGCTCAGTTTGTGTCTGGGTGTTTTATCCTTCGGGTGGACAACTTCTGCCTTAGTGTATTCTTGGGTTTGAAGTATGCACTTATGTTATGTTGGCTGAAGATCCTTCTGAGCTTTTCTGATATTCCTGCAGCATATGGAATGACAACATTGTTTCATTTATTGTTCTATTTGTTGTCTGTTATGGAGGAGCTCCTGTGGGGTCCTTTTTGAGCTTTGATGAAGGCCCACTTGGGATAGCCACATGTTCTGAAGGCTTCTTGATGTGTTTTCGTTCCTTTTCTTTCTCATCTTTGCTGGTAGGCAGGCCTTCAGCTCGGTGGTGTATGGCTCTGATGACTCCCATTTTGTGCTCCAATGGGTGGTGGGAATCAAAATGTAAATATTGATCTGTGTGAGTGGGTTTTCTGTAAACTTCAATGTTAAGGCTTCTGTCTTCCTTAATGTATACTGCACAATCCAGGAAGACTAGACTATTTTTCTTAACATTTTCCTGTGTGAATTTGAAGTATCTGTCCACAGAGTTGATATGTTTCGTGAACACTTCCAATTCCTGTGTTTTGATATTGACACAAGTATCATCCACTATACCAGTGACTGAGTGGAATTCCTGTGAAGAAGTCTAGGGCTTTGGTTTCTATCTCTTCCATGTAGAGATTGGTCACAATGGGGGACACAGGTGAACCCATGGCGCAACTGTGTTTTTGTCTATAGAAACCTTCATTGTATTTAAAATAGGTAGTGGTCAAGCAGAGGTCCAGCATGGCACATATGTGCCTAAGGTTCTTTTCCTAAATACAGGCTAATAGTAAAAAGAGGTGTGTTTTTTTTAAAGTGAAATAGAATTGTCTATAAGCACAAGCTCCAGCAAGGTACAAATGAGATGCAATACATGGAATGCGTTGCTGCATATCACAAAAATATTACTCAGTATAATAAGTGTATTGATATGTGCATATTTACTAAATACACTATGAAAAAAGTATATTGTTAGAAAAGCTATGTGCAAAAAGGTGTGCATTTGGAAAATTAATAAAATTATCAAATGATGAAATTGGCAACTGGAAAAGCAGTGGATCTTGGCAGCACAAAGCTTTCTCAGGGAGGAGGCAGTATATTCTATCAGAGAGAAGTCCAATTTAAGAGAATGCACAGCCTTGAACTGAAGGCGGGGGGTTCAGGGTGCAATGGGATAACTTGGCATGGCTGACTCGCCGTGGCCAATTTGTCCTGGTCATCTCGCCGCAGCGAACTCACCGCAGGACAACTCACCATGGAAAAATTCAATATGGGATAACTCAAGAGAAGGAAAAGTAGAATTGCAGCTCACCCCAGCCTCGAAGACTTCTAACTTGAGAAAGTTCAAACCTAAAACAAGACAAGGCCTGCTGCAATTCCACGTGTCCCTCTCTTGAGTTATCCCGCATTGAATTGTCCCACGCCAAGTTGTTCCATGCCATACTGGCCACAGCGTGACAGCTGGAGAGAGTTGACTAGGGACAGTCAGCTACGACAAGCTATCCTAGACCTGGTACAGGGTGACCACAGCCTAGAAAGTCTCAGGATAAGAAATTTTAGGGAAGAAAGTTATAGTTTTAATCTGACAAGATTTTGCCCATTAGGTGAAAGCAAACAAAGAATTGGACTCAATTGGATTCCTCTGTGTCGTCTTTGGGCTTGGGCTTGATACATATGTTAGAAATGCTGTGTGGCAATATATAAATACTAGGATAGATAAATATAAAATACAGGTTATGCCTGTGATAAAAAATACTTGATTTCATCTATGCACAAGTGTGTTAATTATTTACAGAAGGTTTAACTGAATTGACTGCTATTTTAATGCATGCCACCTAGACCTCAGTTTAGACTGATCCCTATAGGCAGGTTTGATAGAGTGTTTGTGTTTAACAGAAGGTTCCATTTATATATGTTTCTATTGTTTTCACACAGCTAAATATGTTGCTGTTTTTGTCACAATGATTCTTGCTTACTACTTATTTAAATTACCAATCTTTGATTCTCAGTCATCTTTGAAGTTGGAATTCTAACTGATTGGAATACATGAGCTGGGAGCAAGAAAAGAAAGCTAGCACATATTTTTAAATTTGATTGACAAAATGAACTCCAACTGATATGGAAACAAACTAGGACATGTATTACTAAGAAAAATGGTTTTATCTATTATTTATCTATCTCCAAGGCTTCTGTACCTCTCTCAGTTGGCACACTTCCCATATATATAATTTAATGTTTTATTGTTCAATATGCATACAAGGGGAGCAAATATAATAAATACATTTTTTCTGTACTTATATCAGAACATAAGTTAGAGAGATATTCCACATATAAACTTGAAACAGTGGAAAACTTGTTTTTGTAAATAACCACATTTCACCTAAATAACCAATCACTTAAGGCCCCATACTAACATTATCATGCAATTATCTTGTCTTATAGCTTTCTGCCATTATTTTAATCTGATAGAATCAAACATTTACTGAGGGGCAAATTAATCTAGATCAGTCTTCTGCAATTTAAAGTACAACAGATATTGCTCAGAATTCTGAGGCAAAATGTCTGATCAAGACAATTTATTTGTGCTGGAGAAGCATCAGTCCTGAATAGAGATGGGAAGGCCTGGAGAAAACCGGAAAATTGTGTGTGGGGTGGGGGGGACAGTTTTTTCTCCATTTTTTCTGGTTTGGTTTTGTTTTTGTTTGGGTTTTTTTTCATTTTTTTTGGAAAGGAAAAAAAAACAGGAAAAATGAAAAAAAAAAAAAAACCCAAACCCTGTTTTTTCCCCAATGTTTCCATGTTTTTTCCAGGCCATCCCATCTCTTGTCCCGAAACATTCGATCAAACAAGGTACATGATATGAGGCACTGTGTGGAATGTTAAGATATTTAAATTTAGTAGCTGGAGCAGTGGGGTTGTGCAGTGAAGCCAGAACACACAGTTGATTGGTTGGAAAGTGCTGGCTCCTACGTGAGGCAATCTGTGCTGTGATTGGTTGCTGTGGGTGTGGAGGGGGAGTTTCCCTTTTTTCCCGCCTTTTTCCCGCCTTTTTCTTCTGTGTGCTCTCTATGCTCTGTGATTTACCTCATGATGCTCCTGTTTGCCTGACTATCTTGTTTGCTGTAAATATAGATGTAAAATATATATTTATTTATATAAAAGTACACGTTCATGTCAACGTCACTGACTTCATTTGGACACCTGCTGAGTAATTCCCTGATAGGAAAATTGTATGAAGATGACACCTGTAATATGGAAGCTATAACAAGGTGCTTCTCTGCCTGTTCTGCAGATCGGGCAAATATTTCAAATGTATTTGTGACATTTCTTTCTTACCTTGTCAAATACAGCGCTTTTCAGACCACATTCAGTTTTTCCATTTAAAAATCATGTTTCAAGAAGACTGCAATTTGTTTATTACTTCAGATATTCTATATTGTGAGGAGAATCTCTAATGTGAGCGATGTTCTCTTTAAAATTCAAGTGTCTTTGGTTCTTTTGACCAGTCTCACGTTTTTAATTACTCCTTTATTTATGCATACTCTTCTTGTCAGCAGTTCACAACCACTTTTTCCCTTTAAGGTCTTTATAAGACTGCCCAGGCCTAATTCCTCCCATCTCGTCTCTTTTAGCCCACCGTCTTTTCTTTCAGACGATTTTAACCACCATAACTCTACTGTATTCTTCAAGTTTTTCTACTTTTTTAGGTGCTTATCAGATGATTTGATTCTTATTTGATTACTAGCTTTTAGTCCATTCCTCTTTTAGTTTGTATTTCGTGCTTAATATTACACTCAGTCTAAGTAACAATGTTGAGGAAATATTACTGTATGCCTTGCCACAATTTCCTATTTAACCTCTTCAAGTTCTTGATTC